TATAACTTTTATATATTTTGTAATTTTTTATACTTCTATCTATTTTTTAATTTTTATTATTTTATTATGACATCATTGGTTGACCCATTTTATCCAGACGATTAAACTGTTATGTTTGCAAGTCAATTAGGTTGGGTAAACTTTAAGCTCAACCTACTGCTAACTCTATGCATTGGGCCTAAGACATGTGACCAAACTCAAGCCTGATATTTCCAATTTGGGTCCAATTCACACTAAAATTTGATGCATTTTGGTTGGTTTTTAGATTTATCAATCAGCCCCACAACAAAATTTAACATAAATGTATGTATACAATTACATATGTATTCAAGTATGCAAATATGTATATGTATGTATGTATGTATGTATGTATATATGTATGTATGTATGTATTCAGGCTTAATATGGGCTACTCAAGGAATCAAACGCTAAGCTTGGACCCAACCTAAAAAAAATAATCCCAAACTTATGAGCCTGGGTCCAACTCAAGGACAAAAGATTTGAGCCAACCTATCACTCTATGAGCAATAGATGAATTAAACCGAAATAGGGGTATAAACTGTTTTCAAAAATCCGAATTCGAATTGAGATTTGATGGAACCCAATCCAATCGAATTCGGATATAACCAAGTTCAATTCGATAAATATCTTATTCGATTATATATTAATATATTAAAATATTAAGTATAATGATATACTTTGATAAAATCGAGTATGTTCATTTATATCTTTTGTCTTTATTCACATTGAATAAATATATTGATATTATTTTTATCAAAAACACTGAGCGTGATGACTTCTTGATAAAATCAACTTTTATTTTAATATTATTTTATTAATATAAAAGAATAATGAAAGGACATATCATTATAAGGAAAAAGTATCGTTTTTATCGATTTCAAAAACAACCATTTAAATCGTATTTCACAAAAGAAATTCATTTGAAGATAAGAAAAACGTTAAAGTCTTCACCGTTAAACGTAACCGAGAAATTGTTTCGGCGGATGGAGTGCACGATGGCTGGGAAAGCTCACTTCCGTTGATGAAGAATGGCTGCTTCGGACGGCTAGTACAGGGGCCCTCTGACAATCAAAGATGATCGGGAGCAAGAGGTAAGCAGCAGTATGTTATCGAGAAACTGTGTTGATTTTTGGATATGATCTCTCTCTTCAATGCTTGTTCGAGTTTTCAGGAGTTTTTTGTTTTCGCGTCTGATGGTAACTAAACAGAGAATAGAAGAAAGATGCCTGGTACTGAGCAGGAGGTGCGCATTAATGGCCACTCTTCCCCTTCTTCTATTGCTTTCCAAGCGAAACAAAACAACATGTCTAAGAAGCTCCCCTCTGACTCCGTTATTAACTTTGATCAGTAATTAAGTTTCCAATTCGAAGCCTATGCGTTATTTGCTTCCAACATTTTCAATTACAATTGAAGTTGGGTTTTTGATATGTAGAACTTCCCAAGATATAGTAATTTCATATTCTCGGACTGACGCCTGATGGTATTTTTTATTTGACTTTTAACAGTGGTGATCCAAAAATGTTTGAGCCATATTGGCAGAAGATGGGGGACAAGTGCACAGTGATGATCTTCGTCTGACAATCGTCAATAAAAATTGTTGTTTAATATGATAAATATATTATATTAGAGGTGTGCCCTAATTTTTCTTCACAAAATGTTATAATTTTTTGTAATATTTATATTTTTATTTATTTTTTGATTTGTGTTATTTAACAATGAGATCATTGGTTGACCCATTTGTAAGGCAGAAATGAGAGTTAATATTAGGGAAAAGTGAAAAGTAATTGTAATTTGACTGATAATTAAATTTTCATCACCTTACTCTCATTTTCTACTGGTAATTAAATCATTTATTTGATATTTTATGGTTTTCAAAATCGGATCGGACCGGAAAAATTAGAAGTCGGTCAAGTCAGGTGACCGGTTCCATTTTTCCCCAAAACCTGATTTTTGTTAAAAACCGTTGATTTTGGTCAGCAAACTGCTGATCCAGATAGTGAACCATTCGAATGGTTTTAACCGTTTTTTATTTTTTAATTTTTTTTTTTAGAATAGGTTGACCGTTTGATTCAAACAATCGAATTGTTTGACCTAGAAACCGGACCCATGACCGATTCGTTCTCCGGGTCGGATTTAAAAACCATGTGATATTTAATTATTCCCATATAAATAACCGTCATCCCACTTTCATTTAATCATATAGAGTTGGGACTTGCATCATTTTACTTCCAACTTTAGTCATCCCAAACACGTTAAGCTAAGTAAAACCTAAAGCAATAGTAAATCGAAATTTACACTAAATACATTTACACATTTGTGCCCCGATTAAAATTGGGTAATGACAAGTTTTTGTTTCTTTGAATTGATTATGCATTTAGTAATATATAAAGGTATCATAGTTTTCTTGTAATGTTTGTTATACTTTATGTTTCAAAGGGTATATTCCACAGACATACAAGGTAATTTATTAAGATATAATTTAATTTATTATTTATTACCCTTTTATTAAGGTTATATTATCAAAATTTAAGTTTGAAATATTGTTATATTACAGGTAATTTATAAACCTCAAATATGATTGGGTCTAATTTCTGAAAATAGTTTCTCATTTCTCGTTTAAATTTTACAAGTCAAATATATTTGAATCAATTCAACCATAGAAATGAATATTCTAAAAGAAATAGATAAATTTATTATACATTCAATGTTTGTATGTTATAGGATATATAAAAAGATAACTTCGCCCATGCATGGTTACGTTCCTGTAGCATCATGTGAACATGCTTGCTCTTTTTCAACAAAACTAGTTGAATGGATGCACATGCAAGAGGAGATGAATAATATAGTGCAGAATGGAAAATAAATGGACTGATTTAATGGTGGTCTGGACGTGAGGTTAGTAACAGATGAGAGTGTCGATAAAAATTAAGTTGAGATCTTTCGAGAAAAAGATGCGCCAAATGAGCCCTAATTATAAACGGATAAAAGTGAGTTTTCTAAAAAAAGATGAACATGATGACACATGCAAACAAATCTTGACAGAGAGGAAAGATCTTTGTCATCTCACCCAACAAGGAAGGTCTTAATCCTTTTCAAGAAGAAAGGGATGGATTACTATTTGTCAAAAGCTTAAGGGAGGTTTTAGTATTTTACCCTAAAAAATTATGTTTGAATGCATTTTATGATCCAAATTAGCATTGCTTTAGTTACAATAACTTTCATTTATTTATTTATTTTTGTTATATTAACATTTGAAGTAGAGGATATTTTACCCTAAAAATTATCAGCATTTTTGTTATATCAGCATTTGGTGGGTGTAGATTGGTCACACCATACCCTATGGCAGAGATCAATTCATACCACACCACATCTCATAGTTGTTTTGAATTATGGACAAATTGTGTGGATTGAACCAGTCTACACCCACAACGGCATTCTGTAGGCGTGGTGTGGACCATTCCACACCGCACTTTTTGATTCCATGTATCTCATATATATTTATGAATGATCTACACCAACATTTTAAAAAACGACCCGAAAACGGAATCATTCTGGCCACTGGTTCTCGGGTCGATGGTTCGATCATTCGATTCAAACAGACGGCCTGTTCTGGCAAACAAATTAAAAAAAAATAAAAAAAATTAATTAAAAATAAAAAACGGTAAAAAACTGTTGAATGGGTCAACGGTTTGACCACTCAGGTCAATAGGTTGTTGACTTTTTCAATGGTTTTTGGCCAAAAATCGGGTTTAGGGTAAAATGGAATTGCTAGATTGGATGGTTCTCGGGCTGAATGGTCCGACCGTCCGGGTCAACGACGATTCAAAAACCTTGATCTACATAGTTAATCATAAATATCTAATTTTTGCATTTTATATGATAAATATATTGAAAAATGCATCAATGAATTAATATTAACCAATAAATGTTAACTTTTTTGTAAAAACAATAGAAAAATAATAAAAATTTTAAAAATATATTTTAAATATTTAAAATACAATTTTATTGATAAAACATTAAAATTAAAAAAAATTAAAAAATTAAAAAAAATAATTAATATTTTATTAACAAAAATATTAAAATGTAAAACATACAATAGGATAGTCTTTCAGGAATCAAAAGTCAAGTATGGACGGTCCCCAACTACAAGATTTTATCGTGGATGAAAAATTAAAGTATGGATGGGACCTGTCCATGCTATATTGGGGTATGAACAGGACCGATCCCCATCCACACCCAGCCTAATACGACCAAATCCCGTGGACGGGACCAAAAGCTAATCGGTTCAAATAAGGAATGGCATAAGCAACCATATAGATGTCAGTGGGTCGAGTTAAATGGTAAACCAACACTGACGTGACACTATGTTAGGGTAAACAGGTTTCAGGTGGACTCACGTTGAGTTGGTCTATTGACATCGCAGCATTGAAATATTTATATGAGGGACGGGGCGGGTTGGGTCAAACCATGCCGGACCCGACTCCGTTGATATCCCCTGCTTAATTTACACTGATAATCCACTCACTTCCACAGTTCCACTGAGCCAAACCTCTGACCTGCAGCACCTGCTGACATGTGTAGTCATGGTTAATTAGCCGTAGCCATGATCCAGATGGGCTGATCCAAGATCCGGATGACCGAGTTCTGTACCACTGATGAATGCCCATAGCCATATGTACTTGGTCCAGTGCATGTCAGCTGTGGAGACCGGAGAAGAGCGGTACAGGCACAGCCAAGCCAGCCATTTCTATTGACGTCGGATCACAATAATCGCGCCTTGCAGATTTCAGGCATGAGTTCTGCTTTTCTGCCCAACCTACTTTTTTCCTCGTCATTAATTTTTCATACAACAATTAAATGAACGTCACTTCTCCGTCTCCCACCCCACCCTCCAGCTTCCCCCGGCCCCTTTCTTCAACCAGCCTACCCAGCTTGTCGTAACTCCTCCTTAAATGCTTCTTGACACAAAGAAAGCTACAGATGTCTTGGCCTATCAGTCTACGACCGATCACTCACTCCTACCACCTTTATTTTTCTTCTATCCATCGACAATACGTAGCCAAGATCACCAAGCTCTCTATATAAACCCAGCCATAGCTAATAACATCACATGCACCCAAGAAGCCTTTAAGCACTCTAGTACTACTTCCAACTTAAGCCTTCAAAGATATTGTCAATGATGGTGAGGGTGGTGATGATGTTGGCTTTTGCCATCGCCATCTCCATGCTTGAGCTCTTGCAGGCTTTCCGAGTCGGCCAATTGAGACAATTAGCAGCTGAACATAACATCACTTGTGTCTTGGTTTTCGGTGATTCGAGTGTCGACCCCGGGAACAACAACCACCTCGCCACCAGCTTTAAGGGCAACTTCCCTCCCTACGGGAAAGATTTCTTTGATGCTCTCCCTACCGGAAGGTTCTCCGATGGAAGGCTTGCTACAGATTTTATTGGTACATATCTATTAATTTGTTACATGTTGTTCTGTTTCTTTTTCTTAATTTCATTCTGTTCTTGCATTCTACTTGCATGCCTAGTCCAGTTGCTATGAGACTATGACTCTGGGTTCTTGACTAGATTGCTGATTCACACATGAGATGGATGGTGCTACTGCTACATCTATCAGCCAGCCAGCCAACTATAAACATTTTCTCTTTTTCATTGTTATCTGCAGGGGCTGAGCCAGGTTATTGGGTGCAGCCGTGTAGGGTATACCCTAACCAGGGGTAGCCCATCCCTTGTATCCTCACCCAATTTGATTTATTGAAATCCCAATTCTAATCCATTATTATTTTTCCGGCCCCTGTATCAATCCAAGTTATTTGGCTTGGATTTTCAGGTTGGTTTTGAATTATAATGACTTGGTTACTTTGGAATTGGATTAGACAGTGCCTCCAATCTTAACCTAGTCACATAGGGTTCATATTTTTTAATTCCTTAAATAAGAGAACTTCAAACCAAACTTTTTGCTTGGATTTTAGATGGAGAATACTTCCTATAAGTGCATTATAAAAAATTTCATTCTCCGACACTGGTTATTTGTACAGAATAATTAATCTTACTCTGCGTGTACATGTTTGGACGGGTTGCAAGGGGACCCCAGACCCAGCAGACCCCTGCAGCCACAGGCTCTCAGCTCAATCTCACTTCTATTTGTACAGAACAATTAATTCCTTTTCGCAACCAAACACGCCCTAAGACTTTAATACATTTCATGCACGCAAAGTTTGCGAGAGTGATTATATATTATACTAATTTGGTGGAAATCATGACATGGTTTGGTTTGGGGTTGCTTTTTTTTTTTATTTTTTAATTTTTTTGCAGCGGAAGCATTGGGTTATACAAAGATAATACCAGGCTTTCTGGACCGGAATCTCAAGGTTGAAGATCTCTTACATGGAGTTAGTTTCGCATCGGCTGCTTCTGGTTACGATGATCTCACCGCCAATCTGACGGTAACCAATCCAGTTCCCACAGCTCATAAACACCAACCACATTGACCACAAATCGGTCTATCTTTAGCACATATTGTGCGGGACCGGCCGGTTTGACCTGTCCCAACTTTAGTTGGACCTTGAGCTTCCTGTCCTAGAAATTGGGTGGGCCGTGTGGGAGGCAGTATTCATTTTCTTGACTTTATGCTTATGGTAGTTGTGTCCCGTAGCTGTTTATTGGGGGATGATGAGATGGGAACCTACTCAGAACTACTCACTATGAAAATTTGGCTCAAGTTTCAAAGAATGAAAAGAGTGATGATTCAGCTAATAACAAAAAAGACGTGAGTCCTAACGTGTTCTACTCTCATGGAGCCACTTCTTGGTTGCCATGAAAAGTTGGCAATGAGTCCTTTTCAAAATTTCAGGGAATGAAACCATTTTCAGTTTTGGTCAACATCAATTAAAGCAGTTGGAGAGATAGGTTCAACGGGGGGATGGTTATAAGTTATAACCGACCCATCATTTTAAGGGCTGTTTGGTTAGTGGGAATAAGAGGATTTTAAATCAGTCCAACCATTTGATTGGTTGAATCGGAATCTGATTCTCATTTTCGGTGAAACGGCATTCTCCCATTTGAGAGAATGGTCATTCCCTCCCCTCTCTTAGAAATGAGATCCTATTTCAGATATTTTTCATTCCAATATTGATTTTTATACGAATTAAACAGATCATAGGAATAGATAATTCCGATTTTGATTCTGACCACAAATCAAATGGACTCGAGTTTGAATTTGTTTGGCATCAAGAACATGTTTTCTGCCTATTTGTTTTCTGAACCAATTTTTTTCAAACTAAGATGGTTTGATTGATTTTTTTTTTAACTCACAAAAAAATATATATTTTGACCCATTTGAGGGTCCTTCACATAAGTCAAGGTCGGCTACCGGTAACCGGATCCCCATTTTTTGATCTTGCAGCTATGACTATGAATGTTAAATGGATTTAAGTTGGACCTCAGAGTTGTCCACAATGTCAGAGGCCCATTAATGAACCAAAAGTTTGGGGCTTGTCCTTGGGCCCACAAAGTAATTGCCCTTTGTTGACAGACTGCTTTCTCTTAACAAGATGGGGACCCACCTCCTGGTGGGCATTCTTTCATGAATATTGTATTAGTAATTTCATCTACTGATCTTAAACAGTACAACTTGTTATAATAGGATCCAGAGACCTTGGTTATTAACTTATTATCTTGTTCTTTGAGATTAAGAGAACTAACAATTTAATTTGCTTGATCACTTGCTGCTGCAGAACGTGTTGTCATTTTCCAAGCAAATAGAATACTTCAAACATTATAAGCTCCACATGGGAAGGTTCGTTGGACAGAAGAAAGCAGAGGAAATCACTCAACATGCACTCTTTATATTGAGTATGGGGACGAATGACTTTATTCAGAACTACTACTTGGAGCCTACTCGCTCCAAGCAATACAATTTGGAAGAGTACCTGGATTACCTCACCAAATGTATGGCGGATGACATTAAGGTGGTTCTCATTTTCTGCTTGAATTCAGATCTGCGCCCTACAAGGGGGCGCCCCGCAATATCCCACAGCACATCCCTACTGTGTATTGGAAATATCTCCCGATGATAATATTAGAACGATAATATCATCATCATGAGATGTTCCCAATACACTGCAGGAATATGCTGTGGAATGTTGTGGGGCGCAGATGTAAATTCTACTTAATGGGACGTTTTCCAATTAAAAGTATTACGCAGGGGTACCCCACCCATCTCTCTGTTTGTTCAGTGCAGTGCAAATCTGAACTGTGATACAAAATTTTCATGAAGTTCAGTTTTGCATTTATTTGTAATTATGATTTGCACTTCTTACTGATAAGAAGTTTGTACTTTTTGTTTCCTTTGCATTCACAGCTGACAGTGCAAATTCTGCACATCTCCTCGCTTAGTCTTACCTTATGTAGGTTTTCCTGACTTTCCTTTTCTTTTTTTACCTTTTCTTTCCTTGTGTTTGGTTTGAAGAAAAAGGTAGAGAAACCTTTACAAACTTTGCATAGATTTTTCTATATTTCCATTTCTTTCCTTCCTAATTCCATTATCTTTCATATAAGGTATACGCCTATACGGATCATATAATCATTTTACTTTTAAACAAGGTCAAATCTGATGCAAAAATAAACCAGAATAATTCACACTCAGCCTACTCCCTCTCCCATGCATTTACTACACTGGTGCAAATGAAATCCCCCCTTGCAATTAAACAAACTGAACCATACTGGGCCAGGAAGTCATTATGTTTCAGTGGACATAGTGGTTCAGCCGGCCCATTGCCAGCCACGAAATATTTTCATGGCTCAATATCTGGTGCTTCAATTCAGTCCCCTACCTGTCCTCGTCCTTAACTTAATTTGATCAAACTGCAGGCATTGCATGCTCTCGGAGCCAGAAGATTTGTGATTGTGGGCGTCCCTCCATTAGGGTGCATGCCACTAGTGAAGACGCTAATGGGTGCAACGACATGTGTGGATAGTTACAATAATGCAGCGCTCTTGTTCAATTCCAAGGTAAGGAATTTGCTGCCCAGACTAGGGACGTCGTTAGGGGTGAAAGCTGCATTCGTGGATGCATACGCCATCATTCAGCGCACCATGAACAACCCATCAAAATACGGTAAGTGGATGGCATGCATCACCATTCACCAGTCAATTCTATATAATATATCCAACATATTTTCTGGCGGACTACAAAATTAATGAATAGTGGGTGTGTATTGATGAAATGGTAGGTTTCACTGAGGCTTCAAAGGGGTGCTGTGGGTCAGGGACGATCGAATTTGGTGAGACTTGCAGAGGGATGAGTACATGTGAGGATCCACACAAGTATGTCTTCTGGGATGCTGTCCATCCTACAGAGCAAATGTATAGAATTGTGGCCGCCGATGCCCTCAAATCCGTCGCCGGAATGGTTATTGTCTAGGGAGCCACTGTCATTACAGATTAATTTACAGTATGTTGGGTTGAGCATTCTTCTTTCTTTAGTAGGCAAGTGTGATAGTGGATAGGTTCATCTTGTTATTAGCTTCAATACATACACAAGAATATTGTATTACTAGCTGAGTAGCTGTAACCCGTGCCATGAACGGGAACGGGCTGGTCTTGTTTAGAAATTAGAATTGATGGCTATTGAGAATTAATGGTTAATTTGTTAAAATATTAATGGTTTCATAGACCGAAGGAAGGACTCGTGTAGAAGAAACAGCCAAATGGAGATATGATCAAATGTGGAAGCATTGTTGTCCGGAGGCGATGGGATTGCAAATTAATCTTACTGGAACCCTAAAACCAGACATTGTAGAAGGGCAATGTTGTGTTATTCACATTTTATCATTCACTTATTTTAATATTACAATTTATATAAATAGTTCAAAGCATCTATGTCAAGATAGTGTATTATTAAGTGTGTCTCGAGATGTGTTTATCTTGGTACAACATACTTAAATGGTTTCTCTGGTTGGAAGGTCATTAAGAAGGTTTTGATGATCTAGATAGACTAACACATATTACGCTTGTGTCATCAGTTGATTAATTAGGAATCTCAAATTAAATCACTTGTGCAGAGACATTAAAGAGTACTAGTTAAAGAACAATTTCATTGAACTTGACCATTAATAAAACTCTTACATAGAGCCTCTTGTCAAAAACTTGTTCTATCATCACAGTTGTGTAGATAATCATCATTAGACTTGAGGCATCATGGATACCTTGTGCATGAGCCTCCGTGACTTGATACTATAAACATTTATACCCTTGGTAGGGCATAGGCATTCACATGTCGAATATGATGATTTATACATGGAAGTATGTAAATGCATGATAAGGGATCTATCACATTCCATGAGGATGAGGAGAGAGAATGTTCTATATGACTAGGATTGGTACGACTCACGAAGCCTTTGGCCAAGGCAACATGGTTTATGGAAAGAGTTCCAAGTGTTATCACATATGATTGAGTCATCTTTAATCTAGTGTGGCATATGATTGAGCCAACAGGGTTTGACATAGTCACAATGGCCCTCTTCTCTTGTGGGACATTGTATAATAGAAGGATTCTGTTGCATGGTAATTACATATGGAAACGTTCAATCTACCAAATTCAAATTATTAGGGTGGTTATGATGACACACTACTAGGTGTCATTCATGACTTGTGGAGTTCTTGTGAATAATGGTTATTATTCACATTCAACGGTTCTTAAAAGTGTTTTAATTCAATTCAGCTGGAAGGAATTCCATTTGGAATGCTGAAGGATTTTGGCATCATTTGTCACTGCTTAATAGTATTGAACCTAAGAGATCATCACGCACATTAAAGAGTAAAACACAAACAAAGTTGGAAGAAAAGGTGTAATCAGTAAGAAGAGTCTTAGAGGAAGGGCCTAATTGCAATTACGAAGATCTTTGTGAATTAAGTACTCCTAATGCAATTAAGAGCTTAAGTCTATGTAAATAATGCATGGGATGACCCTAGTTTTTATTTGAAATACTCTCTAAACCTTAACTACTAATAGGATTGCTAACACAATTCTTGGTGTCACTCTAACCTTTTCTCTATTGGGTTGCCATCTACGCTGTGAAAGGGAGCTTTGATCTATTGCTACTTCGTGTGGACTAAATTACAGGCCAAACACTTGTGAGGTTGTAGAATTGAATCAAGGCAAACTTCCAAACCATCAACAGTGCAAATCGATCTATAAATAGATACACAATTAAATAGTTTTTGAAACTAGGGTTTTGTACACCATCATGGGTGTGATCTTGGATTTTTCAAGATTTAAAATTTTTAATTTCTGTTGGATGCTTGTTTTGTAAAAAACCACTAGAATCATTCATGGGTATGCGTCATTCAATCAATACATGAAGTGGCTAAGGTGTGAATGGCACGATAATGATTTACTTTATGGCAAGGATTGAAGAGTAAAATCGTAAAACACCAAAAATGAGGTATCGAGTGTTAATAACACCTATGGGCCAGTCAGTCAAGTACTAGATCCATTGGAGTCTGTTTACTCTTGACAAACAAACAAAAACTAGTTGAGATGTAGTCAGGTATTAGTTGGTCAAATTTGGATTTGCTCTTCACAGAACGTTCCTCACACCAACCTCATAGCACTTGCAGTTGCACATCACAAACATCTCCATACTTGTATATTATCATTCACAGGGAGATGTTTCTAAATTCCTATGCACAGTTGCAACGTGCTGTCAAGTTAGTCTGGACTCTAAATTCCTATGCACACTTGCAGTTGCACATCACAAACATCTCCATACGTATGTAGGCACGTAAGTTTTTTGTGCCACCTTACAACATCATAAATGGGCTAAATTTGGAAATCTAAGATGGAAGCCTAAATTTATAAGACTCTCAAGTTCTAATTAAGTGGGCCTTGGCCAAGCCCAACTCTCCAACAAAGTCCAAATTCAATGGATTCAAGTGGGACCCACTAAGAGTCCTTAAACTCCCAAAGTTACCTAAAAAGAAATCTAGATAAAAGGATCAGGCTAAACCCTATGCAAGATAATTATTCTAGCCTTAACACTACAGATAAGTAGATAAGGAGAAAACCTTATCTCTTAATCATGTGGGCCCCATCTCTATAAGAATGTTCTCATAATCTCATTCATAGAGAAAGGGCATTTGTTTTAACACACAAGATCTTTGAGATAACAAAGAAGAAAGTTTCAGAGACCTCCAAAGTTCATCAATAGAAGCTTTAGTGTTCTTCACCTTTTTTTTTCCAACTTAAAAGTGATCTTTGGAGAACAAAAAGAAAGCTCCAGAGACCTCCATCTACAGAAGACCTCCAGAGTTCTTTGAGAGAACAAAGAAGAAAACTCCAAAGAAAGCTCCAGGGACCTCAATTCACAAAAGACATATAGAGTAGTTCTTCATCAAGAGAAGCTTCAGGGTTCTTTACCTTTTTTTTTCCAACTTACAAGAGATCTTTGGGAGAATAAAAAGAAAGGCTCCAGAGACCTCAATCTATAGAAGACCTCCTCAAGAGTTTTTCATCAAGAGAAGCCTTAGAATTTTTTACCTTTTTTCCAACACACAAGAGATCTTTGGGAGAGCAAAAGGAGAGCTCCAAAGACCTCCATCTATAGATGACCTCTAGAGTTTTCATCAGCAGAAGCCTCAAGGTTCTTCACCAGCTCAAGAAATTCTTAGTACTTCACTAGAAGAGACTTCTAAGGTACAACTATTGCAAGATCTACAAGCATTGGTTCAGGAAGAGACTCCATCAACTCTTGGATTATTCACACTTCCTGATTCATCGGACAACAAGCTTTTCAAGCCCTCAGATTGAATCTATAAAGAAAAAGAATCTGAGGCTTTCATTGTATAGAGATTAAATTTCAGAGATCTATTTTGCATTTTATTAAATATCAAAGACTTGATATTTGTCATCATTTTTCTCTCTTCAAATTTTTTAAACAAAAAGTTTGTGTTGACACCGTAATTTTAAACCGACATTTGGATACCATTTGTTGAAAAAAATAATAAAAAAGATGGGTGATAAGAAACTGAGAGGATGGCACCAACCTCACCCTGTGAACTGTTCATAATCGCTGTTAGCTAGACAATTAAGTTTACGATTATTTTTGGAATTAAAATAAAAGGTTGGGACAATGCCCTTTTACATTTGCAATGACTCCAGATCTGCCCATGAAGACTTTGCTACATTCTTAAAACACATACATCCCCACCTCTGATCTCTCCATAAATTTAACATATAAGCATGGGATTACAGGAGATATTCCCAATTAGACCTGTTAATAAGTCGGGCTCAAGCTTAGCTTTTTCCAAAATTTGAATGAAGCTGACCTGGAGCCTGAACCCACATAGTATAAAACAGCCCCGAATCCCAGCCCATAAATGGGTCTATTCCCAACCCGTTGGGTGCTATGTGAACTGAGTTTTTGGTGTAAGGAGATCCTGGTTTTATTTGCCATTCCCTTTAGGTTGCGTTTTGAAACGATGCAAATGGAGTGTAAATCCCGGTTTAAGGTAAATTTACACTTTGGTTTACTTTTGCTTGTGTTTGGCAATATTACATTTATGTATTAACAAATGATAGACCAATGCATATTTACATTAATAATAGGATGTAAAAGTATATTAATAAAAAAGAAATAAATTTGTATTCAAGTGGAATTTTGATAAAAAAAAAAGTATAAGATTTATTGGAATTCATGTTTGCATCCATTACAGCTAAAAATCTATTTGGTAAGAAGGTAAATATGTCAGTGCAGAACTAACCTATTTTTACAATTTATATAAACCATTTTACACTCTACATATTTACATTCACACTTGTTTGCATAATTTTCAAACGCAGCCTTAGGAAATCATGTGACCATTTCAAACAGAAACACAAATGATTACTAAAATAAGTAAAGTGGTTCCCACTTCCCAGCTTTCCGAGATCAGCCCGAACAGCCTTTAAACTATGCGTGCTGAAAAATCCCAAGAGTCCAAATTATCTCAGTTCGGCCTTTTTAGGTGGTTTATCCGGAGCGCCACCACCAAGCAACTGAACCAGCTTTATTAGCTGAATGTTGAACTAAACATTGCAAATTAAATAAGCACTTCATAAAACAAATTTTGAAGAATTAAGGTATTTTGTATTGATACATTTGTCCTAATATACTATTTTGTTCCATCTGTTGAAAATCTTATACTCAGTTTAAAAGGAGTAAAAAATGCAAATGTTAGAGTGCAAATTTATATTTAAAAGGAGTACAAATTTGCATTTATAATGTTTTCAAACTAAGCCTTATTGATGATTTTCTTAATGATAAATATTCTTTCCTTTTTGTTTCAACTATTCTTGTCATGAAAATATAGTCTAATCTTGCATCAATCTTCATTTGGTAGCTTCCATCATATCCATGATAGAAAAATCTTGAGAGACAATATAAGCAATGTTAATCTCTTAGAAGGCGATCTATGGTATCATGCATTCTGGTTGACATATAGTAATATGTCCTCTCAGTTGGATGAACAGAATCCCAAAATATGTATTTGGATGCGTCAGGGCAAACCAAAGTTTTGGTATTGCACAAAAACGATGCTTCAATTAGCCCCGTACCACAACATCCTTTCCTCCATTCCTCAAAACCTGCATCAAATCAAAAGCGTCTGACTAGTTAGCATGTAATATATGTGGCAGTGAGCCGGTTCAAATCTGCTGCCTACCGATGGGACATTACAGTTGCGTATTGGAAATATTTTTCATATCAATCATAAAAAGATGTTATAGGGTAGATATTCCCAATACTTGACATCGATGGTGGTGTTCTATGAATAGAGATGTGGGAACAATTTATGAGTAATAGACCCGGAGTGTGCGGCAGTCATGTATCACACTAGCTTAAGCTTTGATTTAAGTTGGTTTGAACAGCTGTGAAGATGCAACTTAAAGAAGTTTACAAAGATTTGTGTAAGAGACTGAACAACAGAATGGTTGGGCTCTTAAGGATTTTTATTTAGAGTTGGGATCTCCTGCCAATAAAATATGTTCCAACACCCTATCAACTTGATCTGACATCACACGTCTCACTCTAAAATTAGGGTCCACCATAAAGTGAAACCCATCATACATGAGATGTATGGTATCAGATGATGTTGATAGGGTAGTGTTGGAATGCGTTTTGTTGGCAGGTGATTCAGACTCTATCATTTAACATTATTTAGGGTAGACCCTATAGAGTGAAAAGGCCAAAAGCAGAAACGTGAGAGTCCTTCCACATAGAAACTAGCCATTTTGAGAGGGCTGAAGGGTTCAACTGCTTCAAAGAAGTTACTTAAGAAAGTTAAGGATTACATTTGGGCTTTGCTGGTTTCTCACCAAATTAAACTGCTTATAATCTGTCCCTGTAGGACCTTAGACCTACCTCACAAATCCAAAAGCCACCACGAGGAAGCCCTGCCAAACGGACACTAGGGCTCACAATTGCATGGTTAATTGGACTTAGATGGAACATTATAACCTTTCATCTCAAGCCCTAGTTGATTTGTATGAATTATATACTTTGTGCAAGCATGAGAAATTTAATTACAATTAATGAATGAATTGGCTTAAAGATAACATTCAACAAAAGAAGAAAAAAGAGGAAATGCTCAACAGTAATGCTACTATGCTATGACAAAGTCTATATACTTGTACTAACCGAAGCTTTTGTAATTTTGGATCATGTCAATTAATGGTTGGTATATGCCTGCGTACACGATTCTACTCCCAGAGAATCCAACACTAGTCATTTGCATGGATGCCAACATAGCTTGGAGCCTCAAATTGAAGTCTCTTGCTACTGTCAAGTAGCTTTCTATACATCCTTGTTCTGCAAAAGCGTGTGAATTGAGGGTGATGACGAATGGCAAGCAGCCCAGTGGTGGAAGCCCAGTTACTGCAATTCTTCGAATACCTAGTTCTAATAAACTCTGCAAACAAAATAATAGAAGTTTGGAAGAATTATATAAATTGGGAATATGATCATCATAATGAATACCCATCTGATATACGCACTATGTGGGGCCATACCAATAAATGAATATATTTGACATTATTTTTTCTAATTCAAGGTAGGGCCACAACAATACATAGTAAATATAACCAAAACCACAGCATAGTAAAAATAATGGATTGTAACACAAGGGCCATATGAGCAAGATAATGGTCCATTTAAATCATGCAGACAATGTGAGAAATTGAGTGGTCGTGGGACATATGCACTTTATGGTGTTATTAATGGTTTACACAGCCCCTAATAATAACACAGTTATGGTATCTGGGGGTGGTTATAAGTTGAGTCAAGTTCGAGTTCGAGTTTGATATATAGGCTTGTTTATTAATTGAGTCGAGATAGAGTCCAATAAAGCTTATGAGCCTAATCGAGCCTGGTATAATAAATAAATATTTTTTTTATTATTTACATATATATATATATATACATATAAATATATATAATAAATATTTTTTATTATATATAATAATATTTTATATGTAATATTTTTACTTTTTATGCATAACAGTAAATAATTTTTATAATTCTTATAATTCTTATTTTATGTAAAATAAAACATTTATATAAATATATTTTTATTTTTATATGTATAATAATAAATAATTTTTATAATTTTTTGTATGTAAAATGAAAAAAATATTTTTATATTTATAATTTTTATTTTTTTGAAAAAAACTTGGCTTGCAATTGATCTCGGGCCGAGTCAAGCTTGAACTTACAAGCTTTGAACCAAGCCGAGCTCAAGCTCAAGTCTCTAGTTTAAATCGAGCTCAATCTTGAGCTCGAGTCTAACATAATTTCAACGAGTCGAACTCGAATAGCCAAGTATTTTACTTGACTCGACTCGTATCCACCCCTAATCACACGTTATGATATCAGAGACCAAATTTTCTTTTTCTTTTGGGAGTCATAAATCTTCTCATAAAGTTCAAGAATATCATTTTAGGATCCATTTGATTCATGGGAATAAAGGTTTAGAATCAAGATTGAAATGGTTCAACTATTTGATTAGGCGAAATCAAAACCCAATTCTCATTTTGGATAAAATGGAATTCCCCATTTGAGGGAATAGCTCTCTCCCTTGGGAATTAGAATCAATTCAGCTGGGAATGAATTATTCCAATTCCAACTATGAACTAAATGTACCCTTCCGTAATGGTAATTAAGTGTTCTTCAAATCAACCAGCGCTGGTTTCCCCTCATCATGAATGTTGGCATGTTGCCATATGGGCATATCTATTGGGATTCATCCAGCACTAAAGAGGGATGATTAATGTCTACATTGATGCTTGGTTGGGAAAGGGGATAGCATATGGATGAATGCTCCATATGTCCCTGACAAATGTGATTCATCCGAGAGTCCAGACTAGCTGGTTGTTTTTAAGGCTGTATATATAATGCTCCAAGTCAGCCATAAATGTATGTAGCCCCCAATTGTGATTCTTCGCATGCAAGACTCACGTGGGACATTGACAGCCTGTTAATTCTTATTCTCATTAAAGAGGGGACTAAATGTACCAAAAGGAGGAATTGAGGGTCAAAATTGACACTTGGGTGAGAGGGGGGAGTGACCAAACATGGTGAAGAACTGAAGATGGAATTTGATCCCAAAATCTTGCTACAAGCAGCCAAAATAATCTTCACCAAACACGCTGCGATCAAAAAGGGATTTGTGCAATTTGGAAATAATAGGAATATGTGAACTGGGCTATGTGATCAATCATAAGTGAATATGTCAGTGTTATGGAGCTTGCACATCACTGTTACATCCGTTGGACATTTTCTTGAAAAATGTTTTATCAGATCACACATTGGAAATCGAATCCAATGAGAAAAGTGTGATCCGAGAAAATACCATTTTAATGTTTTCTCAAATTTTTATCTTGGCTAGTAACAGAATATATATATAGCAGATGTGCTCTCTTAAATAATGACTGATATGGGCCTTGTGGCTGTTGCATGCGACCCAATGAAATAGTAACACACCAGCGTTTGGATAAAAAAAATCAGTTGATGTGATATTTTGTCGTTTTTTTTTTTTTATTTTTTCAATCGCTAGGGAACTGTCACGTTATGGGGTTTCATGTCTCATCCCCCTTTAAGTTTTTGACCATTGTTAATTTTTTCTTAAAGTTTGGTAATTACAATTATTTTATAATACAGTTGCTAATAGATCTTCTTTGTTAGAATCCTCTAATAAGAGGCACAAAAATATCCAAAATGCCCATGCAATTACTATTAAGATCGGTTTCTATAGAAACAAAAATACAAACTTTATGAACAACAAAAAAAAAGTGAGTTTAAAGTTGTATCTTTACCTTGAGTTGATTGGTATGAAAAGTAAATTTGAAAAATTAAATGGAAATAAACATTTTGATCAAAAGTAACTATATTGGTATTTTAGACACTTTCATGCCTCTTGTTAGATGATTCTAATAGAGGGGGGCGGCTACATGTTAGTTAAAAAGTTTAGGGAGGTAATTGAAATTGCCAAACTTTAAAGGAGGTTTCAGCACAAAAACTTTGGGAGAGGATTCAGCAATTTACCCTAAGGGGGCTTTCTTTTTTCTGGATTTTGAGAGGGGGGAAAGTTGGTCAATGGGATTTTGGTTCCCATTGACCATGAATCTCATGTTCATTTTTCAGATTTTTGTAGGGACTAGGAGAAGTTTATTTTCCTCAGTATCACTTATCCAGGTAAGTGATACCTATCTTCTAGGTGGATAAATAATTTTCTCACCTAGGGGGAAAGTTACTAACACTTGAATAGGACAAAAATGCCCATTTTCATAATAGATTTTTAGAACTAAAATGATAATTACCTTATTTATCTGGGAAATAAAAAAAACATGGATAAGTGAACTTACCCTGGTAAGTGTTTCACAGGAAAAACTTACCCAGATAATTGCACTTACCCGGGTAAATAACCTCTCGAAAAGTGAACGAGACCTAAATACCAACCCAGTTCTTTAATTTGGTAGATAAATAAATACTAACCCAGCTATGTTTGATAAAAATGTGAATGTATATATACCCATCACCACGGTAATTAATAAGATGGTTTTTGGTATCGAACATCAAATGTAGCTTTACTAACAACGGTGTCAGCTCAGCACTATATATGCATTTAACAAAAAATTGTCAAAAAAAGTTATTTGGTTGAGTTGTTTATCAAATAAATGACTCTTGAAAATCATGAGAGCCGTTTATCAAAAAACGCCAAATTTGATGTTTTTCATTTTTAAGACCATTTTTTTACTGTTTGGATGATGTGGCGCCTAATGGCGCTGAGGTGTAAAAAAAAATCCTACAAAACATTTAAACATACAAAATCGTTTATAAAGGTTTATTTTATAAACGCCATTAATACCAAACAACCCTAAGTTGGTATAGGACCCATTAAAGGAGTAATTTCCCAAATGGATCAAACAATTCATCCATTAAAGTGAATTCTGCGACAGAACAAGAATCTGTTTTGAGCAACTGTGATGGATGCAAGATGGAGATGGTCTTCTCTCTTCTGTAAAGAAGAAGATATTAGATTCTCTTGAGGGATCATTCAGAATGTTAGTCGTCAGTGCGACTAATGTTACGTGCAATAAGAACTTTTCTATCTAATTCCTATCTGAGGTGTAAGGTAGAAATAGAGTGTAACCTGTATGAGCTGCCGGAGATTTTGCAGCAAGAACTGCTGATAATCCTCAATGCTGTATTGTCGTCGTCGAATCGGGACGAGGAAGTAATTAAGGACGAAGTCATTAGTTCCAGCACTGATAAGCACTGCTGACTTCTGGATGTGGTATTCGGTTTTCTCCTTCCCAATTGCATTTTCCAACATTATTTTGTACTCTTTGAAGTATTCCAGTTGCTTCGAAATCGTAATTACACTCTGTAACCAACCAAACAAATCAAATCTAGAATTCATGCAATTTCAATAAGTAAACTAATTTCATGAGAAGATCGATCACACTTCTTACACTCAAATTAATTAAGTGTAATTCAGTAAGGAAATTCAATACTCAGATTACATGCAATAACTCGAGAGAATTTCTCTAATTCGATGAAGATAGAAAAAAAAAGAGAATGAGAGTGTGAGAGAATGAAATACAGTTATTTGTGCTGTAAGTGGGTCGTATCCTGAGCCGGCGGAGGCGAAGCTGACACCAGTCATCAACTCCTCTAAGCTTAGACTTTGATCCAAGTATGGAGGCACATACTCTTTAATTCCCACGAAGGAAGCTGCAATCATTCGTTATAGGGAAATAATTAATTGATTGAATTTGCACTTAGAAGAGAGCTTTTTATGCTAAATCAGCTGCTCTTACCTACGAAATCAGTTGAAAGTCTGCCATTAGTGAACCTTCCGGTCGGTATGTGGTTTGGGAAGTCTTGTCCATAGGGAGGGAAATTGCTCTTAAAAGGAGTGGTTATGTAGTCATTGTTTCCTGGGTCGACAGTCGAGTCTCCGAAGGTGTAAACGGCCGAAACTGAATAATTCTGACTCTTAGGTTTGAATAAGGCTTCGGTCTGGTGAGTTCCAAACGCAGTGCAGTACTGTAATGTTGCAAAGAGCAAGAAAAGAAGAGCAAAATAAGAAACCATCTTCATATGCGAAGATGTAAAAGGATTGATGCGATGAAACCCTAAATGAGCTCAATGAATTAATTGGGCTTCGATAGATTGGTCCAGAGCTTGAAATCTGTCTAGCTCTTATATATATACTTGGCCCATTCATGTCAAACTGCCAATTGCCATGGAGTGGGACTCACAGGAAACCTTTAATAGTAAACCAACTAAATTGGTGGTTGTGTTCTATAATTAATCGCTGCTGTGCATTTCTCAACTACTTTTCTATTAAGTGTCTGGAACTACCAAGATGACCAAAATCAGAGTTGTTAACTTCAGTGAATAATCAAGCAGCGGACTTTGTAACCAAATGTAGACCAATTGACTTGACGTAGGGTTGGTGTCTATTTTTGGTTGTTTCCTTTGGGAAATATTTATACGGATATGTGGTAAATAAGAAAATGACCGTTTTAATCATAAAAAATCATTATTAATAGGAATAATTTTATTTCATCAGTAATTTTCCTTCGGGTGAAAAATTTATTTATCCACGAATAAAAAATAAAATTTACATAAAACCTTACAAAAATATAAAATAAATCATGAATATCTTAGTCAATTGTAATCAAAATCCCAACTTCCTCCTCAAAATCCAAAAAATGAAGGGCCCTTAATATTTAGTGTTTCATTTCATTAATAGAGAGAGGGTTTGGATCTAAATGGAGGAGCCACAAAAGGGCCGGGACAAAAGATGAACAGTAAGTGTGGCCAGCTCAGTTTTTTTTTTCATAAAGCAGAAGATTTCATCCATATCCAAAACAATCCAGAGTTGGACTACTGTAGCAACTTAACTAAGAAGGTCCATTTAAATCAGACTCAGCTAGGTAAGTGAAACCCAGATTTTCTACTCACTTTTCTCATTCACTTTCTACCCGCGGTGAATTGCAGCTATACATCTCTTAATTTTTTATGGCAGGTAGAGAGTGAAAAGGAAAAATGAGTAGGAAATCCCGTAGAAGTTTCTACCAAAGTAGCTGGTCGCGGGACTGTTTAACATAAAATGCCCCTATTCGTAGAGACCTCTTTTAACTAGGGAGTGAGCTAAGCCATTATAGATTCTGTTCACAAGAAGAAAAAAACATTAACATCAACAGTCAAACTCCAAAATAATCTGAGAAATACCACACTGGCGAGTCAGTATCAGCCCTTGCGCTAGTAAATTTGTGTGGGCTCTCTACTTTATATATATTCACTTTGATTTCTTTGCTCTTCGAGGACAATAAAGTAATTTTGCCCATGGACTCCGAAGGCTGGCCGAAGGCTCTGAGAACTCGAAGAGGTCGCTGCTGAGGTCGAGGTGTGTAGGCCGAGGTGGGGTAGACCTCGAGTTCGATAGAAGTCGAGGGTAGATAGCCGAAGTGCTGTAAGGCAGAAACTTGTCAGAGGCCCTGTGTGAGAACCCGAGGCAGAGTCTCCAACGGTCAAGTTAGTACAGGGTACGAAGGGAAAGTAACAGGACAGGATCCTGGTGGATAGTTCTAGACTAGAGTCACGATAGCAGTTATTGCAATAGCTATTATGACTTTAGTTGCAAGTCTTGAGTTTTTGTAACCCCTTTACCTGGAGAGGGGTACCCATATTTATACTTGAGCTGCCAGGAGGTAGGTGGAGATGAACGCCTGAGATGGGAGCCGTACGAGAGCCTGCAACAGGTTTGGCAGGGTCATTTGAGTGCATCGCGGTTGGCTCCGTAAGATGGGGGCAGAGTAACCCTTGTTGTAGCGGATCTCGTTCCCTGATCTGGCGCTCATGGGTTGCGCCTCCCAGCCTGAAATGGTCTGCGTTGGGTCACCTCACATCACTTGCCCCCCACCCACTCCCGAGGCCGAAGAGGAAAATTGGGCTTTGGCTGATGGGAGTAATAATGGTGAGCGCCAGTGGGCCCGAGAGTTGAAGTGTACCTTGTGGTGGCATCCTCTTTCGTTCTCTGCCTGGTTCATCTTTATGAGTAGGGCTGAGGCTGCGAGTGGTTTACGACACTGCTGCTTCAGACGAGTGATTCGGGAGGCGCGCTCAGTGTGGATGTTCTGGTGCCATCATTTGGGCTGAGAACATGGGGGGCCGCAGGCTATTTAGGCCAAAGACCTGTGGAGCCGAAGGCTATTTAGGCCGAAGACCTGTGGAGCCGAAGGCTATTTATGCCGAAGACCTGTGAAGCTGAAGGTTGTTTTAGGCCAAAGACCTATGAAGCCCAAGGACCCGTAGACGAGACGGCTTTCCAGTATGACTGGTGCGCGCATTTGCGTGGCCAAGTCACGTAAGCCTGTGGTCCACAGTGAGTGGACATGTTGGTTCACCCAGAACATCGTTTCGCCTTCTGAGGGTAAGCGTTTAGGGATGCGGCGCAGCTGGATCATAGGTGCGGAGGCGTTTCGTGTCCATTGGATTAGGGACGATCCGAGCCATCGCTAGTAAGTTGTTTCGCCTTCCGAGGTTGAGCGTCACGTGGCGCGCCATGATTGGGTAGTGGAGGCGGTGGTTTCTTAGCCATTGGGTCTTGAGAAATCAGAGTCGTTCGTTCCTCTATAAATAGGGCCCTTAGCGGCAACATTCTTGTCGTTTGCCTTTAAGCACCTTTGCCTTCGAGTGAACTCAGCTTTCAGACTCTTCAACCTTCAACACTTTACTCTCACTCTTTCTTCCTCCACATTTCTTAGGTAACTTTAAACAATATTTTTCTCAGATTCTCGACCTGAGTACTATGAACTTCTGCATGAGTCAAAAGGGAGCTCTTCCCCTACCCTTTCTCCCCTTTCCCCATTGAGTCCTACTCTTGCCCCCCTTCAGCAGGAGATCATGGTGCTCCAGGGAAGGGTAGCCCCTGAGGGTGCCGAAGAAAGCCGTCGAGGCAAGGACCCTCCCTGTGAGAGTGCCGCTTCTGTGACACCGAGGGAGGTCGAAGGGGCCTGCTCAACCGAGGGGGAGGGAACCCTAGACCATGTTCTCGGGACGAGGGCTGCCCTGTTAGTAGCTGAGACTGATGTCCTTCGCCTGGGTTTCAAGGACTCTCTGGATGGAGACCAGGTCAAAGCTCTAGCAAGGCAGTACCTCATTCCCTCGTCCTATGGTGTGAGGGTGCCCGAAGTAGGCAGATGGTTGTGGACTCCTAAGGAGGGGGAGATCTGCATCTACCAACATTTCCTCCAGTTTGGTCTTCAGTTTCCCCTTCATCCGTTGATTTTCGAACTGTTGAGGGCGTATGGGATTACTCTCAGCCAGTTGGTGCCCAACGCCGTTAGGACCATAGGGGCCATGCTGGTGGTGGCTCAGTTCTAGGGGGTGGAGCTGATGCTAAGGCTCTTCTGAGTGTTGTTTGTGCCAAGGAGGCATTCCTCCAACAACGGCATGTACTACCTCCAACCCCGTAAGACCAAGCCGATACACAACCCTTCTTCCATGCCTAACTACAAGGGAAAATTTTTCTTTCTGTCATGTCTCGAGGGTTGGTCCTTCAAGTCGGGGTGGGGAGAAGTTAACCAGGCTGTGGAGAAGAGTGTCCCCGTGCTCACGAGTGAGGAGAACGATGATCTCGCACAGTTGCTTGACCTGGGGATAGTCCAAGCCCAACCCATGGTGGAGGAGGAGGTCCCACTAGTTTTTGTGGGTCTTAGCCCTACTCCCCTCATTATGAGAGACCCTGCAATCATTTAACACGTCCTTTTTCCCCCTCCCCTTTTTCTTCTCTCTTCTCTTCTTCTTTTTTTTTTTTTGTTGCCATACTAATGGCTTTACTTTGTTTGCAGAGGTGCCAATAGATGCCTGCAAGGCTGTTCTGGAACGTACTTGCGCCATGTAGAAGGAACGGGCCAAGATGCCTCAGAGGCCTTCTAATGGGTAGAAGGAGAAGGCTGAGAAGGTCTCTACCCCTACAAAGGGGGGGTCTTCCCGCCAGGTCCCTGCCAAGGGGACAAAGGCATAGGTCCCTGCCAAAGGGATCTCTTCAACAACTCCCCCGAAGGGTGCCACTCCATAGATCCCCGCGAAGGGAAGGGGCCCGTCGAGGAGGGCCAGTCGGGACGAGAGGAACAAGCGCAGTAGTAATCGGCCAAGGGGGCCGTGGGGGGTCAACACAGCAGAAGGTGGCCCGCACCAAGAGCTCTACCGGCGATGCCTCGTGGAAGTACCACACAGAGCAGATGGGGCCGTTTTCTGCTCCTACGTCGTTGGAAGAGCTCGCCCAATGATCTGATCAGATCTTTCGCACTCAGTGGCAGGTCCACGAGGGGGACTCAACCCACAACGCGAGAGTTTGCCCAACGCTGGTAAGTGGGTCCCTGCTGTCTTAGGACTGCTTCCAGATGTTGGGGATGGCCCCTGACAAGTTGTACGACCAAGGGTTGTAGAGCCTGGCTGAGGTAATAGTCTGTTCCTCTTTTCTTTTCTTTTTTTTTCATTCTTTTTGTTGGGTACTATTGTTTTCTTGTTGCAGGTCTGCCTTCATTTTGTTGGTCTAGGGGATCGGCTGAAGTTGACCCTGGCCAACATGGATAAGCTAGAGGCTGAGAAAGACAAGCTTCAACAGACTACTGCCAATGCCCTGGAGAAGCACGGCGAGATGCAACGATTCTTCACTAACAAATAGAAGTTCTGTAAGGAGGCCGAGGAGAACCTAAAAAAGAAGCAAGATCTTCTTGCTAAGGAGCAGATTGAAAGGGCTCGGGTCGAGAGCCTAATCTCCGAGGCCAAGCGGTGCCTCTGTCAAGCCAAGGAGGGCATCTCTGAGGCGAACAGGCGGGCGGCCAAGGCAGAGCGGAGGGCCGAGGAGGCAGCTAAGAAGGCTGTCGATGCTGAGAAGAAGGTGGCTAGTGCCGAGAAGAGGGCCCAGGAAGTAAAGAAGCGAGCTAGTGAGTTGGCCAACGTCGCTTCCTGGCGGTTGTTGACTCTTCACTTCCTCCTCCAACTGGTGGCGAGGCTTAAGCCATGCTTCTTTCTCTTTTCTTTTTGTATGTATTCAGCCTGAAAGGTCATGAAACAAATTTGTAAAGCCAAAGGAATTTTTTGTGCATAATGAAAATCAGAGGAATTTTTTGATCTTTTGCTTTGAC